CAGCTGTCCTGCCATCACCTCCTGGGCTTCCTGGAGCTCAGCTGAGTATTTAAGGGCTGGTTTGATGGATGATAGTATTAGAACTATAGAGGCCTAATTCACAGAGAGCGAAGATTTGGTCAAAAGCTCATTAATAGATTAATGGCATCATTTGTCAGGGTGTTTCTCTCAGTGCCCCTGGCGACATCTATTCTGTGGAGAGCGAGCATCCATCTCATATGAAAAATACACCAAACCCACCTTCCACAAAAAATAATTTAAAAAGCGAGTGGTTAATAATGCAGTATGTCATCAGATGGGTAGGGATTAAACCTTCAGACACAGGCATGGGCACCCAGTTCTGGATGTGCCTTGCAAGGTGTCATGGGGGATGATGAACGGTGTTGGCCAGAGGGAAGGACGGGGAACTGAACGTTCCTGGGAGAGCGAGCTGGGCTGCCCGGCAACACGGAGGACCCATTGAGAGGACCCTGGACTCACTGCATGGTGCTGATAGGTTTGGGGTCAAAGTTCCCGTCCGCATCCACTGAGACCTGCTTCTCCAGCGTGGCGATGGTTCTCGTATCTAGATAATCTGGGGGCAGGGCCCCGGCGATGGCGCTGAGACAAGGCAGGGCCATGCGGAAGAGATCTGGGTCATACTTCTGTGGGGAGGAACAGAGACCAGGTGAGCAAAACACGGCAGCGGAGAAACCGCCACAGACCCTGAGAACTGAGAGCTCGCTGCGAGTGAACATCAATCAAATGGGCACCTGTCCTCATGGGAACCCCCGCCCTCCAAGATGCTCTGGTAGAAATGCAGGTGTCAACATAGGATGAGACAACGAACTATACGTCCCCCAGGTCCCCTTTCACTTTAAGTTGAAAACCCCAAGGGAAAGGTTCAAACCTCCTACATAATCCATTTCAAGAATATCACAGTTAAAGTGGTTCTCACCAGACCAGGAGAGCCCATAAACTTGTCTCCCACAGGCAGTTCTAGAAATTAACTCCACCTGCACCTGGGATGCCTAGCCGCTTGGTCAAGTTCAGCAGCAGCTGAGAGGGACTCAGCCAGAAATACGGTTCAGTCAACAACCACGGGGTTAGGATCCGCTTTTGATTTACTTACATTGAAAACCCCCAAAGCGCGCCGCCATGGAGGCGACTCCAACTCAATGTGGGGTTTCTGCGACTGCCAGTCTTTGTGGGAACAGACCGCTCGTTCTCTCCAAGAGCAGCTGGTGGGTTTGAACCACCAACCCTGAGGTTAGCAGCCAAATAAAAGCCTAGCCCACAGCACCACCAGGGCTCCTGGATTAGAGCACAGGAATCCAACGGAAAAGAAAACGGTAAAGAAGTGCTTCCGACTTCTCTGAAAAGCAGGCCTACTTGTTTTTGACCTGTGGTTACCCTGGTGAGCTAAAAAATCCAGATATGTGGGTTAAGGAAAGGGACCGAGTCTGAGCCAGAGCTGTATTTAAACTCAACTGTATTAACGACGGAGCCTGGCAGGTGGCGGTTACACGCACGGCTGCAGTTCACAAGTTTGGCAGTTCAAAACCACAAGCCTCTGTGGGAGAAAGACAGGGCCTTCAACTTGGAAAGAGTGCCTGTCTCAGAAATTCACAGGGCAGGTCTACCCTGGACTATTGGCTGGCTCTGAGTCAGCATGGACTTGATGGGAGGTTTTGTTTTTTTTAACTTTATTATTATTATTTTTTAATGAAGCTGCTTAGAATGGTTTAAGAGTTAGAGACCCTGAGTTCTCATTCAAACTTTTCCATATCAAATGAACGGCTGTGTAAGTCCCAACCAGAAGAGCTTTGCCGCCTGCTGCAGAACTGACATTGCAGCAGCATCGGGCCACACGCCTGAAACTTTTCTCCCGGGCTTGAGCCAGTGACACCTGGCTGACCAGGTCAGGGAGAAAGGAATGGGGCAAGAGGGAAACTCTACCAGCCTGGAACCAGGCCATGTTTTTGTAGTTTACTTTTGTGTAGCTTTCCCATTGATTAGTTCAGAGGATCGGGCACGTTATTCCGCTTCTCTGAGGTTCTTCCTCACCTGCAAAGGAAGGATTATGATCGCTCTCATTTCAGAGAGTTGAGGGAAGAACTAGTGTAATAGGTTTGTAAAGTACTTAGTACAATTAAGCCCCCAAACAAACAAACAAACAAACAAACAACCCCAAACCCACTGCTATAGTGTCTCTACACAGGGTTTCCGAAAATCGTTACAGGAGCAGACAGCCTCAACTCTCTCTCAAAGAGTAGCTGGTGGGTCTGAACTGTTGACCTGTGGTTAGCAGCCCAATGATTAGCCCACCCCACCCCCAGGGCTGGGTTAGTGTTTGCCATTTTGTATTTGTAGGAGGTGGGTCCCCTTTGGCCAAAAGACCTGGTGTTACCTTATGGGAAAGGGAGTCAAAAATGCCCCAGAAAAGCTTCTCGGTTAGGTGCAGTTCTTCTTCCACAGCAAGGCCGTAGCTGCCCCACCCCGAAGGCAGACAGTAGTACTTCCAGCACTGTTCGTAGTGATTGCTCAGAAGCTGGGAGGCAGCACATGATGGATCGCAGGGCAGCAGGGGCGGAGGGGTCCACGGCCGTCATAGACATGCAGGGGAAATACGATAGTAAGCAGAGAGCATGCGGATGAGACCAGTCTTTGAAAACCTGGGTTGCCCATGAAGGGGCCCTCAGACCCCACTGGGCGTTGTTCTACTTTCACACCCAATGAGCTCTAACCCGGGTGGAGCTGGCCGAGTTCATTCTTGTGCCTCTTAAAGTGTCCCTGGCAGCTACTGGAAGGTGAAGGGGCGCCGTCTCTACTTCAAATGAAGGAATGCTGTCTCTGAACACAAGCTCTGTGTTGTTGGAGGCAGTCACAGATGGAAAGCATTTCTTCTGAGCTGTCTGCGTACAGATAGGGGAGCTGTTATTGTGAGAGGGCACGGGGGAAGTAATCTCTGTAAGGATTCTCATTGCCATCGTCATTTCTGACTCACAGTGAGCCTAGGGTGGAACTGACCCTGTAGGTTTTGGAGAATGTAACTCTTTACTGGAGTAGAGTCTTATCTTTCTGCCATGGATGCATGGTGGTTTTGAACTGCTGAACGGTTCCTGGTTTTTAGCAGTACACAACCACTACTGCACCAGGGCTGGCTGGCTCTTTCTCTTGGGCAGTCTGACGGGCCCACCCGCTTATCGCAGTTCCAAACATGGCCAGCAGAGGGCACAGGTATACCACTATTTTATTTTATGAAAAACAAAACAAAGCAGTAAGTGACACCCGCATCAGAAAAATCTCAGGGCTTCGAGAAGTAAAAGTGAGTCGATTGAGCACTATCGATGTCTCCGCCTCTTCCGGAGCCAGCACGCAGCGGACGGCAGAGGCAGTAATGCGGAGAGGCGAACTGTGCAAAGCACACTTTCTGGGATTAAAAACAGGGTCTGTTAGGGGGACAGAGGAGAATGAGCCTGGGGAGGGCGATGACATCGCTGGGAAGAAGCCTCGCATAGAAACTACCACCCAAACCCAAGCTCACTACCATCCAGTCCTTGCCGACTCACAGTGACCCTACAGGACTGGGGAACTGCCTCTGCGGGTTTTCCAGACTGTAACTGTTTATAGGTGGTGGTTTAGAACTGCCGGCTTTGTGGATCGCACACGTGGGCACTACCACAGAAACGAAGGGCTGCTGGCAATGCTGGTTACCCCCTAAAATCCTCTTAAAACCCTGGCTTGACTATTTATGAAAAGGAGGAATCGTTTGGCTACAATTACGGGGCAGAGTTTTTAGATGGGACCGGCATGTACTGACAATTTTGAAGATGCTAATATGGCAGGGCCCGGGGAGGTAGGAGGCAAACGATGAGGGACTTGTTGGCTGGCTGGGTGGACATCATCCTCTCCCACCCAGGCCCGGGTGTTTCTAGTTACACGGATGCCGGCTGGCGCAAGGCGAGGGAATCAGGCAACAAATAAAGGGTGGTTCATTAGAAGACAGAAACAACGAAAACCAAATAGAAGTATCTTTTGCTAAAAGAAGAAGAAGAAAAAAGGAAAACCATGAATGAAATAGAAAAGAGGCATTTTAGATACTGTATTGCACTGGGACAACCCCAGAGCCTTCAATGTTTTTTTGAAATGGGAAATATTCTGAAAAACCTATGTAGGGCAGGAGAACTCAAAATCCCAAGCCTCTGGCTAACCCACGCCCTGGCTATTCTGCGGAATAACAAGTTGTTAGAGAAACCTGGCCGGGTCACGGCACCTAGCGAGCCAGCGCACACCCTAGCCACCTGGCCGTCCCCAAAGAGGTTGGGTTTACAAGGCTGTGTCTTGCTAGCTAATGGTTAGTGTTTAGAAGGAACACTCACTTCACGTGCTGTGTGGACCCCACCTGCTGCTGCTGCTTCCTGTGCCGGCAGAGATGCTTACCTGAAGCGGCATTTTGCAGTATTCGTTAAGGAGCGGCACATCAAAGACAAGACGCCGCAGGAGTTGCTGTAACATGGAAGGCCTCAGGTGGCTGCGGTGTGGCATGAGGGGGACAAGAGTTGATATTTAAAAGACAGAGGGTGGTAGAGCGAGAGACTCGATGTGTGGCAGCACGTATTTAAAGCAAGCCTCGGATCAGTGAGCCCTCCACACACCGGATCTTGGATAAACCACAGTTAACGACAAATGCTTCACCGTGAGTACTGGGAATCCTGGGGGCCTGGGACGTCACACGGGCAGACAATCCCTCCCCTCAAACCAACTCACTGCCATCGAGTCCTGTGATTCCCTCTCAGAGTGACCCTACAGGACAGAGTACACTGGTCTTGGTGGGTTTCCCAGACTTTTAACCTGTGGGAGAGTAGATAGCCTCACCTTTCCCCCTCAGAGTGCCTGGTGGGTTCGAACCTGCCCTGTCCTGTTATGCACATTTGCCAGCACTCTGAAAGGATGGAATAAGCCCCTCCTACTCAAACAAATTCTTCATCACAATCACTGTCTTGCACTGAGTGTAAGTCCCTGCTCTGACTGACCTGGGACTTAAGGCAGGGCTGCTAACCGGCTCATTCCCCGTCTGCCCTGTGCTGCTCACTTGCATTTCCGCCCCAGAGATACTGAAAGCACGCATCAGAACCCCAGGAATTTGTAGGGGGCTTTCTGGAAATGGGGTTACAATAGGACACACTAGATTTCTTGCTGGGACACTTCACATCTTGAATGTATTATTTAATACTTGGTTTCACTGGTAAAAGAAGGTAGTTTTTTTTTAAAGCAATGTTTCATTGATTTAGGAAATGTGAGCTGATGCAAAAAAAAAAAAAAGCTTTGAACTGGGGGAGGGGAGGCAGGGAAGAGATGCCAGGAGACCTTGTTAAAGGGCACGTTTGGATTCAGTACATAAGGGGGGGGGGAGAGGCAAGTTTTCAGCAGGGGGTCAAAAAGCAATGAACCGGTTCCCTAAAGCCCTAGCTAACAGACACCCCCAAAAGAATGAAGGCCCTGGAGACAATTGCGGCATCGGCATCAATGGTAAAAGTCTAAGCGCCAAGTGATAAGATCTTCTCCGAGTTACACGCACTGGAAAGAGTTCCCGAGTTTGCACAGAGCAGACACAGAAAGGACAACGGACCATCCCCAAGAATGGTCAGGCGGGATCTGAGGCCACCTGCTGGTGTGATGCGACGGGCACTCTGGCTTCTGATCCATGCAATGCTAACAGCATTGTTTCTTGGGATCGGGGGCCTCGGTATTAAGGGCAAGTACATGTTGAGACAGAGAGAGGCCCAAACGGAGAGCCCAAAACAACAATTGTGGCCCTTCTGGGCTCTCTGCACTGAAGAGTGGACCCACACTTTCAAGTCCGGTCTCCTGACCTCTTTCCACAGGCACCCACAGAGCCGCGGAGGCAGAGCAAATAACCATGCCGCTCGGTGGCGGCTTGCAGGGAGGAAGCCTCGTGCTAGCCATCAGGATGATGTGCTGGCCATCAGGATGATGCGCTCGAATGGAGAAAAAAACCCACACTTGCCTGTTTTACAACGTCTTGTCCCCGCCCTGCCCTCGCGGTGATAAAGTGCAAAGAGGGGAAATGCTGGTCAGAACACACCGCAAGTACCTAGCTTCCCTCTCTCTCAATGCCCTACGGTCTCCCAGTCTTCACACTGGGTCAGCTGCTCGGTCCTATCGCCAAGACTGAGTGAGGCGAATGACACAAAGGAGCAAAATGAGCCTTTAACTGCATGGATTTCTGGGTGATCAAAACCCAAACACAACAATCACCACACACACACACACACACACACACACACACACACATGCAAGACTCAGTTTGTGTACTTTATCTAGCGCCATGTTCCCAAGAAGACTGGTAGGGCTACCCCCACCCCAACCCCCGAGGAGGACACACAACAGAGACGTGGGTGAAGGGAGACAGCGGTCGGTGTAAGATATGAAAACAAGAATAATTTATAATTTATCAAGACTCATGAATGTGGGAGGGTGGGGAAGGAGGGAAAAAAGAGGAGCTGATACTAACAGCACAAGTAGAACGAAAATGTTTGGAAAATGATGATGGTAGCATATGTACAAATGTGCTTGATACAACTGATGTATGGATTATTATAAGAGCTGTAAGAGCCCCCATGAAAATGATCTTAAAAAAAAGAGGAAGACTGGTAGGACTACCATAATGATAATATTAGAAATATTATAGCAATGTGATCTTACCAAAAATTACAGTGTTAGGGCTGTAAACGATAGTGGGGCTTGGTGTTAAATTCAAACTTCCCCATGCTCTGATTTTAAAAGCATCTTTTCAGCTAAGACCAGGCTCCCCCACGTGGCTTTCTTCCTAGGAAATGGCTTTCTTGCGTGACAGGACTCCCCGACGGACTTGGTTCCTGAGATTCATCCCGGGTTCAGATCTAACAAAAGGCAGCCCAAGGCCTGACGATGGTATTGATATTGTGACTAGCCAATTACAGAATAGATTTTGATAAAAAAGAATTTCTTCTTGTGCAAACACATTGTTTTTTCCCCTTTGTTATCGCTGAGAAGCAAAGTGGACACCCATGTAAACGTATAATGGGGCTATTAGCCTTCCTTCCCAACTGGCCGCGAGGAAATCCTAGGGGCCCTATGCACCCTAGCAGATGATAAGCGTGTCTACCAAGCTCTGCTTCCCTTCCAAGACAGAAGACATTCTAACCAGCTTCCTTCTCCACGGCCCATCATGATAATCCTGCAGTGGAGGTATGGGCATTCCCTGGGACATGAGCAAGATCGGCTCCTGTGTCAGTATTTATAACAAGTTCCTGTGGTTCGCATTCAGCCTACTCTAGTGCAAGAAATGGCTCGCAGCCTTTCCTATGATTTCCATGCCGCACATGTAACGGAGGAAGAAGATTGTGACGCAGAAGGCTCAGAGGCGTCCGTTCAATCCTTTCAAAGCGAAGGCTCATCTACACAACACCAGAGGGCACAGACGTACACCCACAAGGCTCCTTAGAAGCCGGGATTGGCAAGACTCATCTCGTGGACTTTGGACATGCTGTCAGGAGGGCCCAGTCCTGAAGGTGGTCAGTGAGCTTGATAGAGGGCCAGTGCACAACAGTAAGATCTTCCGTGAGCTGGACTGCCGGTGGCCGCAACCACAGCCTGAAGGACGACAACCGTGAGGGTGCCCTGAGACGAGGCAGTGGTTCGGTTTGTTGTGCATAGGGGTCCCTACGAGGTAGAACTGACTCAGGGTGCCTGAGAGCCACAGCAACAAGGGGCAAGGAGGCGTGTCTGTCCGTTCCTCACCTGGGGACTGCCGGTAGTGTCGGAGGGTCAGATCTGATTCTGGTAGGACATCTCAGGGAGAACATTCACTTTAGGGCCAGGCCCTGGAAACCTCCCCCACCCTGACTCTGGGCTGCTGACCCCAGGCAGGGTCTACACAGAGACGTTTCCTTCTTTGGATACAACCTGTCTCCTAAAGTCGGTGAAGGCTGCCGGCCTTGCATCTAAAGACATAACTAGAAGTTAATTTTAATAAAAGCATGTATTACAGTGTGGATGTGGTGGGAAAGGCTGTAGGGACCGTTTTCCCCCAGGCAGCTCTCATCCAAGGGCATCCACATCTCTTGTGGGATAAGGAAACCCAGCTCACTCAAATTCACAGTCACTGATTCTGACTCATCGCCACCCTACATGGCAGGGTAGAACTGAACCTGTGGGCTTCCAAGCCTGGGACTCTCGACAGTTGTAGAAAGCCTTGTCTTTCTCCTGCAGAGCAGCTGGTGGTTTCGAACTGCTCACCTCGAGGTCAACAGCCCAATGTGTAACAACTACACCATCAGATCTCCTAACCCAGTCAACAAGAATGAGGTCAAAGCCAGCTGGGCCCTAAGGAGAGGTCTCCCCCTGAGTTCCTCCTCCCTCTAGGGCAGTTTAAAGCAGGGCTTCTCTACCTTAGCTGCACATTGGGATCACCTGGGGAGCTGCACAAGACCATGGAGTTCTGGGTCTTACCCCTGGAGACTGATTCGTTGGGTTTGGGGTCCAGCCTAGCCACTGGGGTATTTTCGTATCTCTGAAGATTCAAATATGCAACCGAGGTAGGAAACCCCCCATGTGAGACAGACCACGGTCTTGCCCTTGGCTGCCCAGGGCAGCTACTGACAGGCCAGTCTTCCTTTGACCCTGCCACACTTGACCTCATGTCCTTGGGCTGAGATGACCCCTATCCAGCAGGCTCAGATCCCCACCCACAGTGAAGAAATGATTATCCTTACTCTCTACTGTGGCCAGGGCGCTTCCTTTCCTCAGGAGGACTGGGGGTGAGACGCTTTAGTGAATGCTCTTAGTATCTTACCTGTAAGTAAAGAGCCCCTTTATTTGGGGGGTGGGGGTGGAAAGAAACCATGGGCTCCTGACTCTCTCTCCTCTCATGAACTAAAAGAGCAATTCAGAATAAGAACACGTGAGGCCTGAAGGATGGTCTGAACTCCTGACTTGTCAAACCTCATGGCGCATAGCAGTCTAGACCAGTGCCCATCCTCCTCTATGCCAGCAGGGAGCGATGAGCAATTCAACACACCCGAGGGGCCGACTGGTGGGCAGCAAGGGCAGGGGCGCTTCCTCAGACAGGAGTCACCCGTCTTTAGGTGACGCGGTGAGATGCAGACCCAGAAAACATGGGAAGGCGGACTTACTTGCAAATGGCAAGCAAACATTCTTCGATGGTGTCCCTCTGTGCTTTGGTGAGGGACCGTCCCTTGGAAAGCCTGTATATCGTTTGCAGAGTAGAATCAATCAAAGAGGTGCAGTGTTCTGTCCCAGAGAACAGAGGGGCGCATCTCGTGAGGAGCGGGAGCACGGCCGAGCAGATATACCGATTCAAGGCAAGGGCCGCCTCCGTGGTGCTCAGGGAAACCTAGGGCAGGGTGGTTGGGACACTGGTTATTCTCCTTGGGACTACTACTCCAGCTCCCTTGAGGCAGGGCAGGCAGCGTACACTCAGAGCATCAGAGGGGACAAGCTTATACGGTGCAAGCAGACCAATTTCTCTTTTTCTTGGGAAAAAAAAATCATTACGTCCCAACCCCCACCCCCACCCCCACCCCACTCCCAGAAGGAAAATGAAGGGTGGCTGACTGGTCCTAATGCGTCCTAACGCATCCTCACGGCGCCTACCACAGTCCGTGTTTCCTTCAGAGAATCCTGAACCTTTACGAAAATCCCCCGGTGGCCATCTAATAAACAACACACACAGCCTCCCTGAAGTTTTCAAAGCCCATCTACCAGGCTGCACCGTCCGCAAGGACCCTGGGGAGGGTTCTTTTTCTTTACCCTATGGGGTACCCGGTCCTCCTGTGGTATGACAGGTCAAGTGACCTCTCAGGATCACTGGCTGGGGGACAGCTTGATACAGCGAGAAAGGGGTGCTCACGTCTGAGCACTCTGAGCAACCACTGTCTGGTTAATGGCATCGCTCAGAAAACCAAACCTGGCCCTGGACAGGGGTCAGAGGCAGAGAAGCCTATAGCCATCGCTCAGGCGCCCATGCCACTGTCTTATTTACAACGTTCCGTTGTGTTCGTCGAGACAGGCCAAGTTCAGCAAAGACCCAATCCAGCAACACCCAATACCACCCAGATGTGTGGACAACCAGCTTTGAAAGCAGGGCAACTTCAAGGGAAGCCCCAAGACCTGTGGGGATTCAATGCCCCATCGCTTCCTCCCCGTGTTGAGCACAGCCCCACTCTGGCCACACACTTTCTACACCTAAGATGTGACACACTGTTGTCTTTGAACTCTACACAGTGCACGGCCCTCCCCCCGAGGCCCTCAAGTGTGTCTTCTAGAACTCCGGGGATCCGGCTGGAAGACAGAGCCAATCCTTCCCATTTGCCACTTTAACAGAGCGCTGTTAAAATGAGCAAGGAGAAAGCTTTGATTTCAGAGCCGTCAAAGGGACACTTCGCAGAGGTATCAGAAGTGAGAACTTTTTTTTTTTTGTAGATGGTACTTGGACAAAGCAGGTGGTTCCAACACCAGATGCTAAAATAGCATTTGCTGTTTCTTTGGGCTGTACAAAAAGAAAAAAAGGGAAATAAAAAGAAAAAAGAAATGCTTTGATCAGGAACCCTGGGGTTTCACAAGTGAAAACTTAATTTTTAAAAATGATGGAATGTATAGGAAAAAATGTACAGAAAAGCTTAAAACAAAAGTAGCTACGGGAGCATTGTTGTAGTGACACGAAAGCATCCCAGCCCCCTCCCCCTTCTTAAAAAGACCATTTACCACCCTCGTGCCACTGGAATGGCATGCCACGGCGGTCAGGGCTTGTTGATTTCCATCGTGGGGACTGGTTTCTATGTGATCTGTCCCAGTTAAACATGGGCCAGCTGACTGCCCACCACGGGTTTAGATTTTTACTTCTGTTGGACACCAGGGGGCGCGTTTGAGAAAGCTTATAACTGACCAAGAAGACCTGCTCCAGCTTAAAAAACCCCAAATCCTCAAAATGCCAAGCTGTTGTGGGACTTAAGCTGGTCTGGTTGGGCGTTTCTCCTTGGACACGGGACTCCCGGGACACTGTCTTGCTACTTACTCCTCAGTCGTATATCTGGTCATCTATGCTCTCTGCCTCCTGTGAGCTCAGCCCTCGATGCCCCTTCCTATCGGGTTACTCTACTCATCCTCGCCTTTCAAACTTCCATTCACCTTTGGCTTCTCGAGGAGCAAGCCTGGCCACGCTTCCGACATCAGACCTATTCCTTCCTGAAACATAAGGAGTGAGAGTAGCCTGGGATGTTGCCAAGTCAGCCTTGTCCGTGAGCAGTGGGTCTCCCCAAAGGGTGGTTTCCACCACCCCACTCTCTCCCTTGGCCATCATTGTCGCTGCTGCCAACAAAGGAAGCAGGGCGAGGTGGAGGATCACTGGTAGATGCCACGACACCCAGAACACCACTGCGCAAAGAGAAGGCTGCAGCACCGAAGGCGGTGGATGAGAAACTGCATGGAGGGAGCTGGGATCACACTCATCTCCGCTAGAGGCCGACAAGGGGAGGCGCTCCATTTCTTGCTGCCCTACGATCCCACCCACAAGTAGATGATCAGCAAGTAGACAGGCAGCCATGGCTGCTGGCTCCAAATCGCAGGGACCCCGGGAGTGTCCTGGCAGAATCCCTTCAAAATCCAATCGCAATATTCCTTGTTCAAAGACGAGGCAAACGCCTTTCCTTAGTTCACTAACTTACGGTGTCTAGAGAGGCAGAGGCTCGTAGGTCAGGTAAAAATCCGACCTCCAGTAAATGGAGCAGGAAAGTCTGGTCCTTAATGCTGTAGACTCGGTCCAGGAAGAGCACCATGGGGGCCTTGTGGTCAGGGCAGAAGTTGGCCGCCATGTCTGGCTCGCTGACTGACCCATCTGAAAGACAGAGAAGACGCCGCATCCCCCGTTCCATCTCTGTGGCCTCAGAAGGCAACACAGCGCTTGCCTGTCGAGGTTTGTTCTCCCAATGCCTGCAACAGGGACAGGGGGGACAACCCAGTGGTGTGCTGGCCCCAGCTTATACCAGCACAGAAGAGCCAAACTGCCACGTTTCCAGCACGTTGTCAAATAACTGTGAAACATGCCCTAAATTAAGAATTAAAAATTGCAATTAATTAAACCAGATTTAAAAACATCATAAACGTGTAAAACTCATTGCTTTCTAATTATTTTACCACTCTCGTACAAAAATCTAGGCTCAGTGCCATCAAGTCAGTGCTGCCTCCCAGCGACCCTCTATGGGTTTCTGAGACTAACTATTGACAGTAGAAAGGTCCATCTTCCTCCCATGCAGCTGCTCCTGGATTTGAACTGTCGACCAAGGGGATCGCAGCCTAACGTGTAACCACAACACCACCAGGACTCCATAAACCATAACCTATAGTTGAGGTTACTGGCACCTACTCTATGCCAGAAAGGCAATATGCTGGCATGCCCTGTACATGCTGCTTCTCACACCATGCTCACTGATGTCCTAGCAGGAGTTGGAAACGGGCCACAGAGAAAGCCCAACGGCAAGAAGCGGGACCGACATGACTGCTTTCTGGCAGGATGACGAGACAGGGAGGGAGGCGTGTTGACGTCGAGAACAGCGCCGTAACGGAGGAAGCGTTCTTTCCATAGGAAAATGATGGTCTGCGTTAGAGAACTTTTAAAGCGGACCACCCAAGAACGGCTAAGCTAGAGGTTCCAACGCAGCGTGGAGACCATCGCGGACAAGAGAAATTTTCATAGAATATTTTAAGCAATGGTTACTGACTTTATGTGTTTTTTCTAGAGACCAAAATGTATTCCCAGTTATCGGGGCCAGCAGGGGAAGGGCAGGGGCTGTCACAGCTTAGGGCAGTGGTTCTTAACCTGTAGGTCGCGACCCCTATGGGGGTCGAACGACCCTTTCACAGGGGTCACCCAATTTCTAACGGTAGCAAAACGACAGTGAGGAAGTAGCAACGAAGATAATTTTATGGTTGGGGGTCACTACCACATGAGGAGCTGCATTCAAGGGTCGTGGCATGAGGAAGGTGGGGAACCACTGGCTTGGGGGCAGTGGGTTTCTGCGTATGGTCATGGGGAATTTGGCGGTGGGTACTGGTGATGGTTGCTCAGCATGATGGATGTAACTGATGTGCCTTAAAGGTACCTGTGGAAAATGTTAAGTTGGCAAACGCTCTGTTACATATTTTTCATAATAAAACATTTTTAAGTAAAAACAGAAAGAAACCACAGAGTGAAGTTCTACTCTGTTCTATAGGGTTCTTGATGGCTCAGAATCCATTTGATAGCAGTGGGCTTACTTTGAGGTATTACATAAAATACGAATAAATAAAACTGGGGCATTGTACCAACCGAAGATAAAAAAGAAAAGAAATACTGTTAGAGTTGGAGAAAAAGACAGGATTTCATGAGAACATCAAAAGGACCAAAGTGCTGTCCCCTTCTTGCTGTGGGGGCTCATCTTTCTCCTCCTCCCTCTCCTCCCGCTTCCTCCCTCGACCCTCCGATTTTGTTATGCACCAAAAACTAGTACATCACCCCCAAAACCAAATGCACGGCCACCGAGTGGATGCCGGCTCCTAGCAACACTAGAGGACAGGGCAGAACTGCCCCTGTGAGTTTGAAACGGACTCTGTACTGGAGCACAAAGCCTCTTCTTTCTCCTGAGGAGTGGGCTGGTGGTTAGAACCGCTGACCTTGCAGATCGCTGCCAGGGTGTAACTACCCGGGTCCTCAAACTTGTGAAAGAGAGGCCTTAAAATAAACGGTCACGCAGTCGGAGCAGAGCCACATACTGTGTTTGAAACCCTTGGAACTTCAAGTCACCCCAAGAGAGAGCCGCAGAGAGCAAGTGGTACCAGGGCACAACCTCCCTGGCCCAGCAGCCAGGGCCTGGTGCCAGGACGTTGCCTGCGACTCCTCTTGTAAGCACCAGGGGGAGCCAGCTCTGAGCCAGGCGCTCAGAAAAGCCGTCTTTCTGCGAGGTATTAGCAAGTGCTGCTTGTTGAAAAAGGCTGGGAACATTTGTTTTCTTTAAGTATCCTGAGAGTCAGTCTCATATTTATGTGCATCGTAACAGAATGATAAAACAGGTGATGTGGTCCACTGCATTTCCCAAAGTTCCCGGACTCCGATCTCTTTATGAATAAGGACATCTATGAAAATCGCCTACGAAAACGTTCCATGGAATGCCACTTTGGGAAACACTGTGGCAATCAGAACCACGCACGTCTTCCCACGAGCCCTCTGCCTGGACAGCAGGCGAAGCGCCTTCAAGACACGGGAAGCCTGGTGAGGGGGAACGTTTTGCCAAGTTATCACTGCTGGGTGTCAGTTGTCCTCTACAGCACCTGGGGAAGCAACGCTGACGGTTCCTGCCCATCAGGGGCAGAACGGATGCCTGGGAGAGGCCCCATCACCCTGCTCCCCCAACCAGCTACACGTTCTTGGGGACACAGAAGCTGAGGGAAGGCCTTGTGAGAACGTTGCTCTACTTATGCCATCCTGTCAGCCTCCTTACGGAGGAGTGACGTGCGCTGGGGGACGTGGTAACTGGGCTGCCCGCACCCGTGGCACACAGGGTACAGCAGGCTCCACATCTGGGTTCAGAGAAGAGAGCAGCTGCCGGGAGCTGGGAGGACAGGAGAAATCTCATGACCAGAGAAGGAGCGCGACATTTCCCGTGGGTACGTTGTGCTGCAAATCAAGGGTCTGGAGCGAACGCTACGTTGGAGAGTGCACCCGGGGCTGCTCTCTTACCTCTGTTCAGTGAAGGCAGCTTCAGGGGGATGCTAATGATCCCGACCAAGTCTTCTGTGGGGACCAGGGAGCGTAGGATCGACCTGATTCGGATGGCTTCCCCTTTTCCTGTCTGGATGAGCTGTAACCAAGGATTAGAGAATCAGGTGAAACATCCCTGCCCACCTCGCGCTTCCCAAGTGGTTCTCTTCGAGGGAAGGGGTTCACCTTTCCCCGAGTCCCTCATTGCTCTGGACACGTGTGGCCATGGGAAGGGAGATCAGCATTCCCTTGGATGACGAGGAGTGCTCCTAAGAGAATTACTAGACTCCTTTGCTATGCTCAAGAGTGGGCATACAGTGATGTGATCCTATCTTAGCAGGCGACAGGCAGCCTGTTGGGGGCTTCAGGGGCCTGCCACACACAGTTCTCAGATAGACGTGCTGACAATGTCGCTACTGTTTCTGACTCCAGACTCAAGAAATAGCCGACGAGTTTTAATTTCCCAGGCGTGTGATTCATGGTGGGTGTGGGAGCGGGAGAAGGTGAAGACCGTGCTCGAGAGAACTTGAGCCTCTAGGTGGCGTTATCCTGGGGAGGCAGGGCCAGAAACCCAGAACTTTCAGGTGCATCTCCGCCTACAGGTGTGGTCTCCAGGTGGTGGGGCCCCGAGGGTTTTCCCTGGCTCCCGGACGAGGCTCATCTACCTGCTGCAAAGGTACAGATATGGGGAAGTAGGGCTGTTTTGGCCCTCCTTCATCAAGATTTAGACTTTCTTCTGTCCCCAGTGCTTTTGACTAAGACTTCCTCAAAATAGTTTCCCTTACCACCCGGGAGTGCATTTACAACACAGGCCAGACTGCATTCAGCAAGGCGAGCAGATAGTGGCAACAGAGAAGGGGAGAGGTTTTGATACGGTGTTTTCCAAACTATAAGCCATACTCAGTTCTCAGTGCCATCAAGTTAAGTCCAACTCATAGCTACCCTATAGGACGGTGCCCCTATGGATTCCCAAGGCTGTGAGTCTTTATGAGAGTAGGAAGTCTCTTCTTTCATTCCCCCCACTTCCAGAGTGGCTGGTGGGTTTGAACTGCTAACGTAGTAGTCAGCAGCCCAGCGTGTATTGTACTCTGCCACCAGGGCTCCCCCAGATTCTTGAATGGGTTGTACAATCCACTAATGAATAACGATCGGCATTAAAAGCCATCAAATAAATGAGTATACAATAGAGGATATTAGAATGCATTACCTGCAGTAAGCATAAGTTTTGCTTTTGTAGTACGAATAAGATAGGTTATGCCCCTTATTACATTTTTTGGTAAGAAAAAAAAAGGCCTGAAAGCCCCTCCT